AGTGTGTTTTAAATCTCTCTGGTCCCAGACATAGAGTGTGACAAATTTTGCACTCTATGTACTCGTGAACAATATGGGAGTGCCTCAAGTGATTGGTCAACAAAAACGAGGTTTTGAATGTTTTTCTACAAACAATGCATTCAAAATTGTCCACATTGTCACTGTGATATACAGATTTGTGCGATTTGAGATTCCTCTCACGTGAAAATTTCTTACTACAAATTTCACACTCATACAAAACTTGCTTGTTGCACATTTCCGATGTTTTCTTGTGTTGGTACAAGTCTGTTTTGCATAAAAACATTTCACCGCAGGTCTTACAGTTGTAGGATTGGTGGGTGGTGAAATGATTTTCCAGATCTGTATGACTGTCAAAAAAGGCAGCACAAACTCGACAGATGAACCCTCTTTTACCACGGTGTTCGTTCAGCAGATCGATGCATTCATAACTAACATTACACACGAGACAAAAAGGATCGGATTTTTTAACATCTTCTGTACTCATTAAAGGCTTTTTAGGAGAGGCTGTTGATGACTGAGAGTCAGACTCTTCCGAGCTATTATAGTGTTCAGCAATTCTACTGTTATCGGCTTGACTCAAACTATCTGAGAACGACTCATAATTACAACTTTGTAAATTCAAAGTTTCAGATTTCTGCACAATCTTTTTCACTTTTGTTTTAGCTTTTGCAGGTTTCAAAACACATCCATTGTCAGTAATGATTTCATTGGACGAGCTTGGAGTGTGAATCATCTCTTTAACTTCGTCTTTTAAAACTGCACTCGGCAGCATCGAGTCCATCCCGATATTGACGTTCCTCTCGCCAGGAGCTTCAGCCAAACTACGTTCTGATTTTGAACTTGCACCTCTCCTAACCTACAAAAAAACAGATGTGTATCAGCCTCTCGTTAGTGCGTTGTTAAAGTATTTTCACAATTTATATTTCTGTTTCATATGATATTAGATTATTGGATTGATTTTCATCATTGAATAATACTCTTATTGTATTTGATTTCCCTACAACCTTTTTGCCTTTTATCGGTGCTTAGTTTTCTCTTACTGAATCCTCTTCTTTGGTATCTTCAAATTGAGTTGATGTTCAAACCCATCCATTAATACTTTAGGGAGTTGAATACCCAATGGAGTTCCTCAAGGTTCCATTCTTGGACCTTGTTTATTCTTTATGTTGATTTATGTAATGTTACAAAAATGGATACTTTTAAATATGCAGATGATACTGCTTTAATCTGCACCGAAGAAAAAACATTGGATTTCAAGCAAGACTTAATTACTAATGAGTTTCAACTCCTCGGGTATTGGTTCACAGTAAATGGTCTATCTATGAATGTGTCAAAGACACAACTTTTTCAGTTGCTAATGAGAATAGAGACATTGTTGTAAATTCGAACCAAACATCAATATATTCTTAGAACTCAGTCAATTACCTGGAAATTGATATAGACTGCCAACTAAATTGGCGAAAACACATTAATAAATTAATGAAAGAGACTCAGATCAGCTTAATTTGTTCTTCGGGTAAATTGAGATACTACAACTTTAGACACACAATTAGCAGTATACCACGCTTAATTTTTTTTCCATCATGAATTACGGTTTAGCAGTATGCGGTTCTTCTAGTCCTGACAAACAAATGTTTATCCTCCAAAAAAAAGCAGTCAGTCTTGGGCAAAATTTCTCGAATTACTCACTGTAAAGAGTTTTTCATTCAGTTTAAAATTCTTACTTTCTATAGTTCTTACATCATCAAACCGGCTTTAATGGTTAAAAGTGATTTTGACGCATTCATGGAAGATCAACATGTGCATCCTCATAACACTAGATTTAAAAAAATATAAACCAGTTCAACACAGACTTAAAATCTTTTATTTATCTCCTCAGTGCATGGACCCAAAAATATGTAACAAATTGAAATTACCTTCTTCAATTAGGGACACTGATTCATTCCCTAAATTCAAAAAGGCGTTAAACAACTTTCTTTTGGGGAAGGCCTTTTACTCATTGGAGGAATATATGGAAGCTGTGTAGATGTTTAGGCTAAGCATATGAACTTTATTCTAATTTTAGCACAGAGACTAGAAAATATTGTAACAATGACGAATCACCTGCCTGAATATGATGTTATGTGATTATTGTAAAATAAATAAATAAATACATCACAATTTGATTACTCTTACAAAATTCGACAATCGGTACAATATTTGGCTTAATGTATTACTATGGAGAATTTTGTTTTGTGTTGGTTAAGAGTTCACCCCACTGAATATTACACCAGAGTTTAACGAATCAAAATTAAATTTGGACCTACCAATTGCTGTACTTGTGAACTAAAGTATGTACAAAACTTTGACTGATTCACGTGAAATTTCGCGAATCTATACATCATTTTAAAGAGAAACCACGATATCAAATTGTCCTAGTTATATTTGTAATGATAAGGAAAATAACTAGACACTATTGGGCTCCCTAGTCCCATTTAGAGTAAAAATCGAATAGCAATGGTAAAGAACCATCTGCCAACTGCCAACTTGATCAATACCTGGCTTAGGACAAGGGCCCAACTCTTGGCTCCGTGGTTGCCTGTCCACAACAAAAGCTATTTTGTTTTTAAGCCATTGAACAGAACAAACTCAAGATGGATAAGATAACCTTTGTAGTTTTTTTGCTACCATGACCAGCTACAAAGTAGACACACATAAAGATTTGTTATGTTTTACAATAGCTATCCTTGGATAAAGGAGAACACAAAATAATCGCTCGGCCACACAACTAATGTATGAAAGAGGACATTAACATATAATATACCTAACTATGTCCGTTTTTCCTTTTCTTTTTGTGATGGACTCGCCCGTAAACTGATTAGGTGGGAAGAACAAAAGCAGCAATAACTTCTGGGGAAAGTTTCATTTAAATTCTAACTCTTATAAACAAACATCCAAATATTCCAAAAACTTCTTTGAAAACATGATTCTCCTAAAATACATACAGACGATAACTTTACCTTAAACATCAGTTGAGCAAAGCAAAAGCCTAATAACGGTGGTGTCACAAGATGAACAGTGCAACAATGAAACTAGAAAACGTTCATAATATTCCAGTTCATAGATGGTCAATACTTAAGCAGCCAACACGGTAGATCCACCATACTCGACAAAATTATTGACTTAAATGAGCGAACTACATCTTATCATGATCTCAAATTTATGCTGTTTCAACTTCAAATTTCGTAGGACTTTTAAAAAGTAATGTTTCAAGCTTGCTATATTAATTGTTAACTTTTGGAATAGGATAGTTGCATAGGGTTGGGAAACATCTACATTAGGAGAGAAAGTCAGGAACGGCGCTGGTCTTGCTTGCACGTCCGCTGGTTAATAATTTACGGTTAGCTTTTGTAAGTGTTTGTTGGATTATTCATTTCTGTTCATTACCTCACAAGTATTCAAACATTCATTTATTAATTCATTCACCAATAAATAAATATTGTATTTAGTACTTTTGGCACAAGTTGTACTAACAATTTCCAAATAAACCACCATGATACTCCATAGCGTAGAATTTGGTTTATGATCAAAATTATTTTGATCGTTACATTCTATTCTACTCCGTTTCATTTGTGTTGTCCTCTAAATATTTAGGTCTAATGTTTGATTGGATCTAAATTATGTACTAAAACAACTTCTTGGATCGAAACTGTCTTCAATACAGAAAGAATATGATAACCTAAATATTTAATTGACACATAAACATACCCTCCGAAAACAATAAATAAAATCTAATGTTGTGTATATTAAAACAAACACTAAACTATTTTTGGAACTGGGGTGTATAAATTAAAGTTATTTTAAAAATCCAAAAGAGTGCATTGTTTATTGTAGCTCCAATATTCCTATATGTTTTTCATAGCTCTGTATGAAAAACATTCCCACAATAATAGGCCTCATTATAATGACAGTTATACGCATAAGAACGAATAGCTTTTCAAAACACATTTAAAACACAGCTTTTTTTCATTGTTCATTTCAAATTATTGTCTTATGGGAAAGGAGGTTTTTATGGTACTCCATAATTGTATAATTATTTTAAAAATACAAAGATAAAATCTGGCATATACTTATAAAAAAAATGCCATTGTAACTAATTTTTTATGTTTTATATCAGAATATCAACAATCAGAACTGTCAAAAACAAAATATAATCCAATAAAATAAGCAATATTTAAATTTGTAAAAATGAATAATAATAAAGATCCTGAATATTATAGGCATACACTATTCTGTAAACCACATGTTATTTTTTTTGTGAAAACTAATTTACCGTCATTTGCAAATTTTAACCAAATTTCATTCGCCTTTATTTGAATCACCAACAGAAGGTCATTTTGCCAATAACTGTATTTTTCAAAATTGATATTTTTAGTTTCTGGGACTTTAAAGGAACAAATAGTTTTGGAATTTTTAGTCGTTATTCTTTTATTAAGGGTTTGGTTTTGAGAGAATAAATTCATCCTCACTCATTATTCTAGTTGCTTTTGATCTCATTTACGAATTTCACAATATTTTACGGATCATAATTTAAAGATGTCTAAAAGTTAATATATTTTGAGTAAATTTGTTTCTAGTCACAAAGCTGGCACACGAGAACCTTTAACAATAAATATTTTAATATTTTAAGTCAAATCTGAGATTAAATCAAGTTTTATTTACACACCCCAGTTAGAATTCCGTCAAGTCAATCCAAGAATTACAAAAACAGAGATTAGTCAATGTATAAATACACGTTAAAATTAATCTTTACTCTTTATCGTGTTCTTTTATTTAACTTTGGTCAATACTATACCAAAAGCTGAGATAGAAATCCAAATTATTTGATGTAGGTAGTCTTTTTTACTTTGAAAATAGTATTATTGATTTGTTAAACAACTTTGACAATCTCTGGTTTAGTAATTTTGAATTTCAGCGTAGATTAAAAAATGGAAACTTACCGATGAAGAAGGTCCAAAGGGATCAGGTTGATTACAATCAATATCCATTATATCAACCTCGCTTTCTTGCTTCATACATGCCTGAAAAAAACCATTGATAAATTTTGTACATAGCTAAATATCACATTATATAACAAAAATATTTCATCCTCAATGGATTTCTTCAAATGGTTTTAGCGAATTTCCCTATAGGGAAGTAGCTATTACCGTAGGTCTCATGGTAAGACCTAGGCCCGGGACCGATTTACTTTTTCATTTTGATGTCCCCAGAGGCCAAAAACACCATTCGTTCAAATTTTTATATATCTATATATAGAGATAAATATATATATATATATATATATATATGTGTCCATCCGCACGATAACTTGAGTAATTTTTGTCCGATTTTGATAAAATTTGGTTTGAAGGTGTAAGGCGGGATAAACTCGAACGAGTTCGCGAACCAGTATGATCGGACTATGGGAACGGGGGTTTACGGGGGGTTTTATGGGGTAAAAATAGGTTTTTCCCATTTTTGACCCAAAAAAAATAAAATTTTGCAAAATCTTTTCAAACCATTTTGTAGAGCTTAAAAAAACAAATAATTTAGTATATTGAAGTGTTACTATGCGCCTAATGGTTACGGAGAAAATTCCAAAAAAATGTAAATTTTAAATTCCCATGTTATTCTTATGGAGAATGAGTAAATAACTGTTGTAGTTTGCTTGTTTATGAACATATTTTGATCAAATTTGGAAAATGTTTTTATTTCTTACTAACTATTAACATTTTACAAAAAAAGTTTTACCCTCCCTGATGCAGCAAACCTAAGTACCTGTTAAAATAATTCTATTTAAATAGGAAATAAATGTTAAATTTTTAAGTAGACATTTTAGTGTAAATCCAATCAGACATATGGAAATTCGCTTCGTCTGCAGGTTTGCTGCGGCGGGGGTATTTATATCCATTTTATCTCTTAATATTGCTATACTGGGACGAGTGTTGTTTCAAGCCTTTTTGTACTACGGTAAAAGCCCTGTATTCCGGCACTTTCAATAATCTGGCATCAGTCTAAACGTTTAACAAGTTTTCGTAATGCTGTTTTAAGCCATATAAACGAGTTCGACAGTCAGAAGCCATCAGCAGATGTTGATAGAGATCAAAAAGAATCTGGTAGCGATTGGCAAAAGCTCTAGAATTCATATTGTGTTCGTTGGTGCTCTAAGTGTGTTGTTTGACCACATTGAGCAATTGATAAGTTTTAATTCCTGATGGATGTGACTTTGAAGAAACTTACAGAGTCATCCACAACAAAGAAATTTAATATGTGTGTTTTAGCCAGAACTATTTATTTAAAACCAATAAAGGCAGCTGGGTCCAGTTTTAAATTGTCATAAAGCTACAATATTTTTTTTTGTATTGTGTTGGGACATTACTAAGGACCTCCAGTAGTTTGGTTCTTCTGTCCGACCGATTTTCATAATGTTGGTCTTAAATTAAAGGTATGCACGTACAGATTTGCCATTAAGCATCATAATTAATTTATCTACACTATTACTCGAAAAAAGAAAAAAATAATATTTTGTTTGGATTCTTACTTCAATTAAAGATGTGTTTCACCAGTTCTAACTACATTATCCTATATGATTTGGTCTAAGAACCTTCAGCAAAATACCAGCTTTTATTTGAGATTTATTATTAAGATCAGAAGTACCTGGAGCACGCGGCTGAATCACGAATCAATAATAATCATAATTATTTCAGGACTTATCAATGATATGCAACTTCATTTTTATTTGAGTTATTTAATATGTCTTGGTCTGTAATATAAATACTCCTAGAGATCAAGGATTTAATTTGAGATATTGTTTGTATTACTAACAACCCAAATCTAAAAAAAATTAGTTATTTATCATCAATTGATAGTTTGAATTGATTTTGCTTGAAACCTCAACGGTAACAGTTGATTTCAAAGGGATTCACGTAGTTAAAACATTGGAATTAAACAGTAGTACAATCTACTTTTAAAAATCATCCAGAAAAATTTACCATTTTTCCATTTTGTACCATTTTTCCAATAATAATTTATGAAAATATTTTTTTTAAATGTTATCTCGAGTTGAGAAAATCCCGAATCAAATGTAATCTGGCCTCGATGATCGGGAATATATTTTTACCAAAGATTCCCTGAGACTTTGGGACCCGTCCATCTCTAGTGAAATAAAATGAAATGTTTGTTAGTTAAACTTTAATTTGTTGCCCTCCATCTACGCATTGTGATATAAAAAGTATACTCACAAATTGATCCACGGACACTTCTTCAATTTTTGGCAGCGTTATTTGTGGCTGTTTGACCATAAGGTCTGTGTGGGCCTGGAATAAAAATAACAGTGTTATCAGGTATACAAATACAGAAAAATAATATTACAGGTTAATGATACAAATAGACAGTGCACCAAAATTGTGTACAAAAATGATGAAAGCATTGCCAGCTAAAATATTATGTAAATAATATAGGTACCTAGTGATTTTTAATAACTAGGACCTAAAGTTATGAAAACCAGTTGCTCTGCTCGTGCTTCGCTACGGGGTGAGAGTAATAATGCGATTTTTTATATCTAATATAAGTATCCGTTACCCCACAGTTACACCCGGGATTATAGAGACAAAGCTTATTTGTACTTAATGCTTAAAATTCACACAGAATTCCCCGATTTCCAGGAATTCCCGGTATCTGACAACCCTGTTTTATTAATGAATTTGAGACAGCTGATATTGAGATTGTTTTGTAAGCCAATGAGAGTACCGATTTAGTACTACGATTTGTTTCCACTTGTCAGTTCTGCAGCAATGAGCAGTTCAACGTTGAATATGATTGATAACTATTCCTTCTATACAATAATTGTATGGAAGGTACAGTAGTGTAATGTGTGTACTTTAATAAAGAATAAAATATATTGTGCTAACACTTTGTAACGATGTATTCTACACCCGTTACAGTTTTACGTTTCCAAAGGTCGGTACGTCAAATCAGGAACGTACAGTAGTACCAGACACTCGCGCTCTCTCTCTCTCTCCTCAGCGCTCTCTCTCTAACGCAAACCAAACTCTGTCCTTACCGCCAGAGTAGGGACGACAGGAGAGGTAACCTCGTCTCTAGCACGGTAACCTCGCTGGCTTAATAACGGAGCCATAAACCATCTCTGATCTCACGGTAGGCCTAATTAACTAGCACTGAGTGTGACTTTTGCTTTAGTTTCCATTCGAAGCTTCGATTCCTAGTATTGTTTTGTTGCCGCTGAGACAACCTGGGTGTATTTTATTGTGTGTTGTTTAACGTTGATATTTTATTTTTATTAAATCGTTCAATCCCAGTATCGTTTTTTGCCGCTGAGGCAACCTGGGAGTATTTTGTTTTGTGTGTTGTTTAACGTTGATATTATTAACTAAACTATTAACTCGTTCAATCCCAGTATCGTTTTGTTTTGTGTTGTTTCACGTCCATATTTTTATTTTATTACCTCGTTCCCTCCCAGTATTGTTTTGTTGCTGCTGAAGCAACCTGGGTGTGTTTTGTTGTGTGTTGTTTAATGTTGATATTTTTATTTTATTAACTCGTTCCATCCCAGTATTGTTTTGTTGCCGCTAAGGCAACCTGAGTGTATTTTATTGTGTGGTGTTAAACGTCGATATTTTTATTTTATTAACTCGTTCCATCCCAGTATCTTTTTGTTGCCGCTGAGGCAACCTGGGTGTATTTTATTGTGTGTTGTTTAACGTTAATATTATTAACTAGGCTATTAACTTGTTACATCCCAGTATCGTTTTGTTGCTGCTGAAGCAACCTGGGTGTATTTTGTTTTGTGTGGTATTTAGAGTTGATATTATTAACTATTAACTTGTTTCCTCCCAGTATCGTTTTGTTGCTGCTGAAGCAACCTGGGTGTATTTTGATTTGTGTGTTGTTTAACGATAATATTATTAACTAGGCTATTAACTTGTTACATCCCAGTATCGTTTTGTTGCTGCTGAAGCAACCTGGGTGTATTTTGTTTTGTGTGTAGTTTAACGATAATATTATTAACTATTAACTTGTTACATCCCAGTATCGTTTTGTTGCTGCTGAAGCAACCTGGATGTATTGTATTGTGTGTTGTTTAACGTCAAATTTATTAACTATTAACTCGTTCCCTCCCAGTATCGTTTTGTTTTGTGTTGTTTAACGTCCATATTTTTATTTTATTAACTAGTTACATCCCAGTATCGTTTTGTTGCTGCTGAAGCAACCTAGGTGTATTGTGTTTTGTGTGTTGTTTAACGCTGATATTATTAACTATTAACTCGTTCCATCCCAGTATCGTTTTGTTGCCGCTGAGGCAACCTGGGTGTATTTTATTGTGTGGTGTTAAACGTCGATATTTTTATTTTATTAACTCGTTCCATCCCAGTATCTTTTTGTTGCCGCTGAGGCAACCTGGGTGTATTTTATTGTGTGTTGTTTAACGTTAATATTATTATTTTATTAACTCGTTTCCTTCCAGTATCGTTTTGTTGCTGCTGAAGCAACCTGGGTGTATTTTATTGTGTGTTGTTTAACGTCCATATTTTTATTTTACTAACTCGTTACATCTCAGTATCGTTTTGTTGCTGCTGAAGCAACCTGGGTGTATTGTGTGTTGTTTAACGTCGATATTTTTATTTTATTAACTCGTTACATCTCAGTATTGTTTTGTTGCTGCTGAAGCAACCTGGGTGTATTGTGTGTTGTTTAACGTCGATATTTTATTTTATTAACTCGTTCAATCCCTGTATCGTTTTGTTGCTGCTGAAGCAACCTGGGCTTTCGTGTTACTAACGTTTGTATTTAGTGTTTTATGAGTAGGTCCTTCAATACTTAGAATCGTTTTGTTACCGAATGATAAGCATTGGTCTCTAATTAGACAAATATCTACCCCTTATTATTTCGACAGGATACAGACAATCCAGTAAATATTCTAAATTCACCCATAGCCGAACCTAAATTTCGTGTACTGAACGTTTTGTAAGTAAACACGTCCCTTCCAGTATTTGTGTGTTGCTGTATAAGGCAACCTGGAAGAGCTCAATTGGCAATCTAAAACAGTGACAATGATGATAGTGAGATATTACCGAAATTAGGTATCTTGTCCGAGTCACTCAAAATTATTTTCGTATCTGCGATGACGAACCCTGGCATCCACTGAGCCATCCGAAAACCTAAATTAATATGTTGACTATTTTTCAATAAAACGGAAAAACACGTCACAACTTCAATCTATTATTTATTCTTTTGATTGAGGTGATTGAGCTAGTTTACTGGAGAGTACAAGTGTTATTGAGGGCCGAGTAATCAAGGGACTACAGTATATAACCATCTATTACTTTCATAAATAGAAAATAGATTTTAGCTCAATAAGTTGGCACATTTCAAAGGAATTTCCCTAAAGGGAATTAAATTTTCAAACAGGCATTTGGAGATGAATAAGAGCATATGATTAGTCTGTAATCAAACTTACAATAGGATCCTCAGCCATTTCAACAGCTTTCTCGTTTTCTTGAACAACTTGAACGTGGTTCTGAAAATAAAATTAGAAACAATATAGTCCAAATAATATATTCGTCATTATACTACACAATACTCTGTAGCCTTATTTAATGAGTTTATAAGCCTCTACTATGTACTTTCAGACATGATGGCTAAATTATACTCCATAATCAGTTATATATCTCGACCTTGAAATACTAACAATGAAATAGGCCTATACTACTCATTGTACCTAGATTTGTGATCTTCGGGCGTCAACTGTGTCCAAATCAACGAAAACATTATTCTTTTCACTTCTGTAAAACGTCAGCCCCACCAAACGTTTCTATTATGTCCAATTCCCAACCACTCAGATATACCATGCGACCTTGCCCAGCCAACACTAGATTTGTCAACTGTGCGGAAGTAAAGTAACCCTGGGCATGGCGCTCTGCATTGAGCCCATTGGTGAAGTAAATAGCGTTTTGTCGAGGTTGACACATGGCCATTGCCCGAAGACCACAGTTCTAAGATAAGTGTCTGTGGAAGCCTATTCAAGATAATGCTACTCGTTGTAAACTGATACAATAATATTAGTACATTGTGGATAGTAGCCTCCGGATTGTCAAATAATATTAAACAGGTTTAAATAGGTAAGTTTAAATACCTGCTATCAAGCGATCCATTTTATTTTAAGTCCAAACTGACTGAGTCAGAGGTCTGGACTTAAACTCCGCCGGGTTAGCGTCGTCTGTTGTCGTATAACTGATCAGTAAATGTTACGTGTCCGTAACGTGTTTTGTGTCGTGTGTAAATTTTTATTTATTTTTACGTGTTAAATATGACGCTCTTCATGTGAAGAAAGAAGAAGTCCTTGTACCGCCTGATGATAACACCACATAGGAGTCTAAACTAGTTGTGACTGCAATTAAGGGATTGCTTGATAGGAGGTATTTAAACCTTTTTAATAATATTAGCATTTTGGTGACAATGCTTACTAGTGGATCAGGTGTGGCCTCTTCAGTTTCTTCGCTTATCCTCTGGGAGTCTTCAGGTTCCTAAAAAACAAAAACAAAGAGATACAGATGTTTGGATATTGAAACTAATGATTTAGGCTGAAGTAGACCAATAGCTCAAAAGTCAATAACAATGCTAAGGAATCTTGCAGGACATTAGCCACAAGGATGTTTCTGTCTCAATGATGAAATGATTGAATGTTTGCTTCTTTGGTTCTGTAAGGTTAAACTTAAAATCTAGTAAAGAAGTAACTGTATGTAAAAAACAATTTCTATTGGATATGAGTTAATGCCCAAAACACCTACTTTGTTTGAGGAATTTGGTTATGCCTTTGGTTGTTAACTAAAGTCACCTAAACCAACTTGATATAATTTCACTTGCCGCTTTATCCATAGCCTTAAAAATAACACACTTTTATGTAGCCCTGTTTCAATAGTAGAGATGTTATTAATGTATCCTAGGGTCAAGTATTGTCCTGTAGTTTACTAATTCTCCTCACATAACCTTATTGCGTGGTTGATGATTCAAACTTTTAAAATCAAACTTCCAATCTTAAGGCGATTTGTGCAAAAAGCTGAAAATTTATTTGCATGTAATGTTTCCTACAACTACCACTTACATGTTCATTCTCTTCGTCCATACAAACAGAGTGTGTGTCATCTTCATTATCAGAACTATCCTCGTTAATGTAATTTTCCTCTTTGATTTTGTGTTCTTCTAAGTCAACCTGAAACATAGAGAACATTGAGCAAGTTCACTAACAATGATTGATGGGAACAGAGTTTGTAATTTCAAAATTGTAATGTCAGAAATCCCTTATAAATCAAAAACACTGTCAGAAGTGTTCAGGAGGTAAATTTTTAACAATTTAACTAAGTCTTGCAGTTGATTAAACGACAAAAACTCAAGTTTAAAAGCACTAGGGGTGAAAAAGTATGTTTCATATGTTAACAAGTTTTTAGTTAATTTTGTGTGATATTGTATTATCCTGTGATTGTATATATTCCTACTACAGGAACTAATATCAAAAATACTTCTTTTATTGTTTTATTTATTTACAACGTAAGAAATATGCCAGATTAAAAGAAATTAACGTGTTGGTACTTACAAATAATTTAACTATGTATTGGGTATTTAAAACATAGTCACTAAAATTACACTAATTTTCATACACAATACCTGAGCAAATTTGAGGCCTAAGCACTTTCGAAATTTCTTATCCGCAACTTGCACTTTAAGTCGAAACTCGTAGCACTTTTCAAGTTCTTTTTCACATTCTGCACAAATATTTTCAGGCAAACCATCTTCTTTCTCAACCTAAAAAAAAATTAAAATCGAACTGAAATCATGGTTTAGGCCTATAACAAAACATGAGTGTAAATATGTGCAAACCAAGCGGTTCTCCTAACTTCTTACTATGCAATTTTTATACTTGATACTGTTATATGGAGTGCTATTATGGGGAGAAAAGCACCATCTTCGTCCTCAGCATTCAAATGGTAGAAGAAGGCTGTAAGATTAATAAATAGTCTGGAAAGTTTACTCAAACTTGTAAACAATTAAAAATAATGATATTAGGCCTACCATCTATTTTTATAATCAAGTTACATAAACTTTTTGCATGTAAATGAAAACCAACTCTCTCTGATGGACGGATCTTCAATACATAATACCTGAGATAACCAGAATCTAAATTTACCTCAAGTTAGGCTTAATAGATCAATTTAATAGCCATCATTACAAGAAGATTATTTTTTTCAATAAACTCCAACCTTGTTGAGAGGTTCAAAATTCACCTCACTTTAAAGAGAACTCCTAAAAGATTTTTCCAAGACAATATTTTTTACTCCCCCAAAGAATTCATGAGATTTTTTCAGCTATACTTAGAAATCAGATACATTTTAGCGAATTTCCCATAGAGGGAATAAGCTGTTACTGTAGTACTCAGGTAGGACCTGGACCCCGGACCGATTTACTTTTTTGTTTTGAGGTCCCTGGAGGCCAAAAACACAATCCGTTCAATTCATATACATTTGTATGTGTCATTTAGATTTTATGTGTGTGTTTCATATGTGTCCATTAGCGTGATAACTCAAACAAAAATTATCACTGATGAAATTTGGTACAAATGTGTAAACTTATGTTTGCAAATCAGCAATATTAGACTATGAAATAGGGGTTTATGGGGGGTTTTATGGGATAAAAATTGGTTTCTCCCATTTTTGACCAAAAAACATAAAATTTTGCAACATCTTTCTAAACAATTTTGTAGAGCTTAAAAAAACCAAATAATTTAGTATATTGAAGTGTTATTATGTACCTAATGGTTAGGCTACAGAGAAAATTCAAAAAATATTTAAATTTGAAATTCCCATGTTAATTTTTATTGAGAAAATTGTAAACTGCTGTAGTTGACCAATCATATTTTTATCAAATTTGGAAAATGCATTCATTTCATACTAAACTATTAAAATTTTACAAAAAAAAACACCTTTTTACCCTCACTGTTGCAGCAAATTTAAGTACTCGTTAAGCTAATGCTATTTAAATAGGGAATAAATGTGATATTTTTAAGGAGACTTTTTAGTGTAAATCCAATCAGGCAATCAGAAATTCACTTAGTCTGCAGGTTTGCTGCGGCTGGGTATTTGTGTGTACCACTAGTTTGGCCTATTAACCTATTGGTATTGGTAAAGACAAAACTAATGTTATTGTTTTATTTCTCTGTTCAATTATTTCTTTAATATCAATTTGTATTTGTTTTATTTTCTCTTGGAATGGTTATAGCTTTGCGAGTCTGATATTGACATACAGTGGACTTCCTCTTATCTGGTCTCCTCGGGTCCAAGGCCAGTCCGGATAGTGGGTTTTCCGGTTAAGCCAACGTCCCCAAAAACTCTTTAAAACGGACTGTTTACTGCGATATTCAACTTAAATTTAGGAGAGCATTGTATTTAGACACGTGATCACTGGTCTCAAATCTTTTCTATGAGAACAGTCATTTCAGTACCACCCACTTCCTGCCGGTCTAGTCCATTTAACCCTTTGGGTGCTAGAAATTCATTTTGGTACTTTACGAAAAGTGCCAGAGGTTTTTTTACTGGGTATGTCCGAAAAGTGCCAGGCTTTCCATAGGGACGAAGCTTAGTGCGCAAGAATACAAATCAGTAAAAGTATAAATTTTCATCCCAAAAGTGCCATGGAACGATATATCATGCCTTGATCGTATGAGAAATCGATTCAAATCATCGTTGTTTTAAAATAACAACCAAGTCAACCAATATGCCCATTAAAACTCACATGATCGAAAGTAGCGCCGGCCAGATATATCACTGAAATGTATTTTTCGGTAAGACTACCGACGACAATATATCGTTGTGAAGTATTTTTCAAATGTGTTGTGCAAAACGATATCTCGTTGCATGGCAATCAAAGGGTTAAACCAATGTGCAAATAAAAATTGTCCGGTTAAAGAGATGTCATTTCTGCCGAGTGTAGTCTGGTTAAACCGATGTCCGGTTAAAAGGTGTCCGGATAAGAGGGAGTCTACTGTAGCCTGTTGTACTATTACGTAATTATGGCTGAATAAACTTCTATTATGACTAGTAGGTACTAAGTAGGCCTACAGTAAATTTGGTTTTAACAATTTTGTAGGTATCAATTTTGTGACCCTTTAAGTTACAAAATTCATATCAGCAAACACAGAATAATAATAGAAGGGGCACAAGGAGGGTAAGTTAAGTATTAATGAGAGATAGACCAACCGAGATGGCAGTCGTCTCGCAGCTATAAGTGAGGCTGCTAGCTCTGCCTCCTGATTGGATGTTGCCGAGGGACTTACAGTACATAACAAACCTAGGTTAGATGACTCAAAAGGTCGGTTAAAACGGGCAATCCCTACAAGGTTAAAAAAAAAATGATGGGCTAATCATTCGGAATTATATTGAATTATTATTCTTAAGCCATGCTTGAATACATTTTACAAAATAAACTACACTTTCTTAACCTAAAACACGGTAAAGTCAAATATTTTCAGTAGAATAAATTATGGTTGTAGGCAAGAGTTAATAAAAATTCTTATTTAAATAGCTATAATAATATTAATTGATTCTTTCAAATCTAACGTAATACAATACAGAACTTATTGTCGAAGTTAAAGATAAAAGCAAACATTTTGTTACGAGACATCCTGTAGAGTTAGGCGTATTGTTCACATTGCCGAGAGGTGTTTTTGGCCTCTAGGGACCTCAAAACGAAAAAGTGAATCGGTCCCGGGTCCAGGTCTTACCATGAGTACTACGGTAATAGCATATTCCCTATATGGAAAATTTGCTAAAATGGAATTTATTCTTGTAAATTTCAAGAAATAGAGTCTATGCCACTTCCACTTTAATAATAACATGACTGCCCTCACCTTAATCCTCAACGTCTGCTAACTAATTTACTAATAGTGCTTAATCTCACAGTGTCTTAAAGCAAAAAACGTGCTATAGTGCTTTCATGTATCAGCAACTAATTAATTATATTATAATCAGGAAACCCCAACAGTAAGAGATTCCATGCTTAGCCTAGTAAAAATCTATATAAATAAAATTAGAGTTTTGTCTGTACATTGCTCAGAATCATACATTTTTAGGTTATTTTTACGTTTTATACATTAAAGAAGCCGAAACAAGTCTCATCTAAATTTCTGTCTGTCTGTCTGTCTGTCTGTCTGTCTGACACACTCAAGATGGCATTTTACGCAATCTTCTCCAGGAAAACGAGAGTACCTATCAAGACCCAAGTCATTTTAATGTATTCACTGGATTGGCGAGAGTGTCTTTAGCCATTAAAATATGGTCTCACTACTTTGTAATTAAAATTACGGACGTTCAAAAATGCAATTTTGTGCGATTTTTGTCAAGTTTTCTTCCAATTTTAATCACATAATCATCTATGAAACAACGAACAGCTGTTCGGATCAAGATTATTTTTTCTAGCTGTCACTGAAATGTTTACAAATGTTGTTTACAAACACCACAACCATTTCCGATCACGTTTTGAAGGCAAATCCCATCCAAGTGAGATTAAAAACGTTTTTATTACATAAAGGATTTAATAATCGCAAGTGGAATAATATAGTGTAACCGTAAATTAAATAACTAGGCATCATCCAGGTCAGGAACCAGAAATATGTGTATAAAATTGTTTTGGAGTTTTGATAACCAGAAAGAAGACATTGAATCAAGATTGAATCAGTGTTGTATACGGCTGGGAAACTTAAATTTACTAATGACCGTCGCCAATAGCTTAGAAACAATGTTCCACTCATTGACGACTCTTCAATGGCGGTTGTGTAAAGTGTAAAGCAAAAAATTACAACTGCAGTGGGTGATTGTAACAGAGGTTTACGGATGATGCTGAACTTGATTTTCCAATGTGTCACTTTCTGTTCCTACCATTGACTATATAAAGTCAATAGTTCCTACTCACCGTGTGATGCAATCGCTGGACCATACAGCCAATAGGCCCATAGCCCTTCTCTTGGGTACGTGTGGTAGGTATGCTTACCCAATTATTTATAACAACCCTTTCGACAACGATCCTTGATACCGGTACTTTTCCATAGAATACTCGGCCTACCTAGGTACTTAAGAAATAAAATTATAAACGTCCAAAAACCCAACGTTGTGTGATTTTTGTCATGTGATTTGTGTGTTTCCTTATAACGTTAATATATATACCAGCAACCATTGTTTAGAGAATACGTAATCTATTAAATAACAGAAAGTTATGTTGTATAAGGTTTTTTTTTCAAATTGAACACCGATAAGTTTACATTAAGAGTTGTGTACAAATAAAGCAATTAATGAGAAATAACTTTGATTGCCAATAACTTTTTACGAGAAAATCCAAAACCAAGAGATCAATAACCTTGATTAACGCATATAATTGGTCGGCTGTACTACAGTTCTTAACTGTAAACGTTGGTTTTTGGTACGGTACTGGTTCATTTCCTTTTAACCTTTAGTAGCAGCAAGAATCATTTTTACGTACCAACACATCACAGTAATTTACAAATTAGTTATCGTTGGTGTTGCACCTTATTTATTACAGGCGTAGGCCTATTCAATTTAATTGATGTCTTAACTGTATAATTTTTGCTTTTTCTGTCTGGATTCCAAAATGTTATGCTAAGAAAACTATAACGCATTTTAGTAAAACATTTATTCAGCAAACCATCATGAATTGTTCAAAGTTTGAACGTTGTTTATGTATCAATAGTTCGTGGCCTATTTTGGTATTTTTTTTTTTTTTTTACAAATTATCAATCT